AAGATTAAGAGGCAACAATGTGTATGAAGTTGCTTTGAAAACTAAATGGAGCTATCTTGAATTACCAGAGCAGGCAACCTGGTATCCCAGTTCTTGCTATCAAAGCCCTCCAGGTAGCAATCAGCTCCCCTCCTCTATCCTGTGTCTGAGTCTGTCCCCACCTCTGAGGTTTTCGCTCATCTTTCTGAAAGGAAATCATGGCTGGAGAGTGAGTCTCTAGGTCAACGTTAAGCCACTCACTCCATTATCAAAAGCCCCAAGTCTTCTACTTTGTGCCAGGAACTGCTCCAGGCACTGAGGGTTCCACTGAGGATAGAAAGCATCTTCCAGTTTGGTTTGGAAGGAGATGAACGATAAACAAATCCAGGCTTTTATTTCATCTGAGGTAGTGACAAATGGTCTGAATAAAAATAGAGTAAAAGTTACCAAACATCACAGTAGGAGGGGCTACTTCAAAAAAGACTGTGAGTAAATTCAGGGGTAGTTAGCCACACAAGGGTCTAAGGGCCTGAGGGCACTGAGCCATGCCAGGGAGGATCAGAGACGAGCCTGGAGAAAGCAGACAATGAAGGGCTTCATAGGCCGAGGCTTGGGGGCTGTGTGAAGAGTGGGAATGCAGAGGCTCTGCTGGCCAGAGCCCTCCTCCTGCGCCCCACCACGGCAGCAGCCCCCTCCCAAGCCTGTGCTCTGCTGCTGCCAGGGTTCTGCAAGGATTGGGGGTGGCAAACTATTTGTCGCCCCCCTCCCTGGCAGGAGTGGGATGGAGAAGGGATGGAGGAAAAAGTGCTTCACTATTCACACAACACACAAGAACATGAATTGAACACAGAAGGGGGAGACAAGATAAAACTTAGACAAATCGGGCAGAAAGAAGGAAGATGTCAATACTGATAGCGACGAACGCTCTGTGCCAGGTGCTGTTCTTAAAACTTTTCATCTTCCCAACAGTCCTGTGAAGCGGGTGCTATTATGACTTGTGTTTTATAAATGAGGAAACAGGCACAGAGCAGTGAAGTAACTTACTCAAAGAATCAGCTAATGAAGTAGCAGAGCTGAGATTCAAAGCAGAAAGACTGGCTTGCATCTACGCTTGTAGTCAGGTAGGGTGCTCAGGACAGAAGCTGGACCAAGACTGCTCAAAAGCAGCAGGCTGAGCAGAGGTGGAGAGGAAGCTCAAAGGGGGAAATTGCATTTCATACTATTTCTGCCCATAACATTCAACAGCAATGCCATCTATTTACACAGTGCCTTTCTAACGGATCCTTTAAAGAACTTTGTGAAGAACATGACATACCCAGCATATAGATGACGGCACAGAGCCTTAAGAGGTTAAGGCTCCTTACTGCAAAGTGAAAAGATAAGATTCAAATAAAAAATCTGCATGGCTCCAAATCCCTTGCTCTTTAACTCATCTGAAAGGCACCCATGGGCTCCTGTTTAGAGTCAGGCACTGAGCTAAGTATCCAAACATGGGAAAGACCTTGCTCTTAAAAGGATCCCTTGGGTGTCACCTATACCCTAATCACAGACTCACAAGGAATAATCGTCTTTTTCCTGGCTAAAGGATGTGAGCAGGGACGGGACGGGGAGCATTCATCAGCTCCTGCTCTGCGCATGGCACTCTTCACGCACTATCACAGGCTCAGCAGGTGGGTGTAACTGAGACTCCTCACTCATCTGGCCCCATTCTTCCCTGCTGCCACAGCATGAGAAACCCTGCTTTTATTGCCAATGCACCTAGCTAAAAAGTACATTGAAAAGCCTCTATGGTAATTAAGCGCAGCCATAGGGCTAAGTTCTGGCTGATAAAGTGCAAGAGGAAGTCACTGTGGGGGACTTCTGGAAAAGCTCTTTTAAGCAAGGGAGGCCGCTGAGGGGAGCCCATTCTCCCTGTTTCTCCTCCTAGAGAAACATCCTCAGTGAGGATGGCAAAGGATCCAATATGGGTCATAAAGGCAACCTTGAGGGTGAAGAATCACAGGCTCAGAGCAGTGGAAGAAAAAAGTTAGCAGCCCCGGCACCGGCTGGTTTGAGAAAGCCTAAGTCCTGATCTGTTCCTCTAAACAGGAGCAAGGTACGCTTCTGTATAGCTTATGTTAGTGTTCCACCTGGCCTTAGTCACTGGCCATTAAATGCATGTCTTAACTGATACAGTAGTTATATCATCATCCCCATTGGGAAACTGAAGCTAACAGGTTGCCCCAAATCCCATAGTTAAGAGAAGGAAAGAGAACTCAAACCTGAATCTTTCTGGTTCCATAAAACTGTGATCCTCTCATGCCATTGGTTTAAAAAGAAAAGAGAAAGCTTGTAGGCAATTCATCCTCAGGATGCGTCAGGGCACAGACGTTGCAGAAGAGTTTTGACCAGTTGACAAACTTCTATACCCTTACTCTTGACTTAAGAGAAGCACATTAGAGCAGATGGTGTCCTCCTAATCCATGCTCTCCAGTAAGTTACCCAAAAACCAGGCAGAAGGCAAACTGTTATTGGAGCATTTAATATCTCCTCTTCCTCCAAGTTACCAAGTTCTTCTCAGAACCCTTGAAAGGAAGTCCGATACATTCATTTTCATGCAAATTTGATGATGTGCCTCTTTATCAGATATATTTACAAATTCCTTAGAATTTTCTAAAGACTGAATCATGCGGTCTAGAAATAGTTTCATATCCTTGCCTTGCCTGATGGCACCAGCTGACACTTCTAGGACAGTGCTGAATTGAAGAGATGACAGTGAGCATCTTTGCTTTTTCCAGGTCTTGGCTGGAAATCATAAGCATTCGGTCTTTCACCCTTGTGTATCAGGTTTCCTTTGGTTGTGTTTTTGTTGTTGTTTTACTTCATAGATGCCTTATATCCACTTAAAGAAGTTTCCTTCTACCCTAAATTCATATCACAGATTTTTAAATTTTTTTTGTGTATACTGGGACAATTGTGCGGGTTTTATCCTTTATTCAATTAATATGGTATATTAATGGATTGATTGTGGGATGTTCTATCAACTCTACATTCCTGGCCTAAATCCCTTGGTCAATCTGTACCATTCCTGGCATAAATCATTTGGTCAATCTGTACCTTCTTCTTTATAGGATATTGGTTTGCTAGTATTTTATGCAAGACTTTTGCTCTGATACTGCTCTGCAGCTGTCTCAAATATAGTACTTGTTATGTCAGAGGTCCCCAAGGCCACCCCCAGGCCCAGTGATTTGCTCAGAGGATTAGAACTCAGCACAGAGTCACACTCTATAGTGCTATACAGTCTACAACAGAGAGAGGATACAAAGCAAACCAGTGAAGGAAAAGGCACACAGACTGAGTCCAGAAGAAACTAAATGCAAACTTCCAAGGTCCTCTCTCAGTGGAGTCAGACAAAATGTTCTTACTTCCTCTGCAACAGCTGCGACATGTAGGAAATGATGCCAACCAAGGAAATTCATTAGAAACTTAGTGCCCATGATCTTTAGTAGCAGGGTGTCACACAGGAGGAACCCCATGCCTTCTACGTACCTAGATTCCAGACTCTCAAAAGGAAAATAAGTGTCCTGCATAAGCCATATTGTTTGACAGTTCAGACGCAGCGAGACACTCTAGACGCTCTTACCGGTTGAGGTAGGAGGACTGCTCCCAAAATCCAACTTCTCAGGTCTTTCAAAAGACAGAAGCTGAGCCTGCTATGACTCTTTTCCACATGCTTGTATTTAAGACAAACAAAAATGCCCAGAAAGTAGATAATGTTTAATACAATAGCATTAAATGCTAATATTGGAATTTGAGCCATAGGAGATAAGAAAAGTTTTTCAAGACATGCTCGGGACCTTGAAAACGATATCCCTTAGCTTACTTGTGTGTATGGGTAAGCTTAAGCTTGTATCTCTAGAAAGTTTAATTTGGAGTGACAGGAAGGGGCTCTCAGTTCATGCCATACATTGCTTAGACAAAAATATTTCCCCTGCACTCTAGGGGGAAATGGCTTTCCAGGCCTTGAATCCTTTGAGCATCTTAGGCCCCCAAAACTGTACAAGTCAGCAGTCACAGTTCTGGGGAGAGTTTAAGAGAATGCCAAAGGGGGAAACAGGGAAGCAAACACATTCAACACACCCTTCCAGCACACTCTCCAACTCCATCCTATTTTGTAGCCAAAGCACTGTTAATTCTTTTCCTTCACCTCTGGAGCCAGAGGCTTGCAGGGTTATTCTAACTAATTGATTTTGCTCTATTTATATTAAAAACTGCACAGCCAAGCCTTCTCTGATGCACATGATTGATGATAATAAAGATAGGAATAGCTAAATAGCACAAAGAGTGGACTGAGCACTGTAAGAAGCAATTTATCGTATATATTAATTTCTCAGCAAACCTGCAACATAAGCACAATATTAGTTTTCCTTTACAGAACGGGGGATGAGGAAACTGAGGTTAAGTAACTGGCCTCAGGTCTATACCAAATGCACAACAGAGGCAATATGGTCCTGCCTCCTCCCACACACACCCCACATAATATGGTTCCAGAGCCAGCATTCTTAGCCACCAGCTCAGACACTCCACAAAGACAGCTCCACAACAGACAGGGTTTCCACTGTTGTTCACCCCATAGGATAGCCCATTGCATTCTCCAGTCTGGACTCAGGTGTAGGGTAGAAAAGAGTATTGTTGAGACTAAAGTTTAGAGAAGAAAAAAAAATTGAGTCATCTAAACAATGACACCCATACAAATGGGCCAACTTCTGAAGTCAGATCTTCAGATATAACATAAGACATATGAAAATGCAGGGCCATGTTTGGCTGTGACCAGGAATGGAAGGTCCTACTGGCCCTCAGTGCCTGGATGCCATGGATGTGAACATCATACAATGGATAGATCAATCAAGAACGATGAATGGTGACACCCAGGTAGCAGCAGCATTCCTGCTAACAAACACCACCCTTATATACAGTTCTAGGGTTGCAGAAGAAAGACACTAAGAAAGATCCCTTTAAACTCACTGTTTTCAGAGCCTTACCTTATGCACCTTGAACTTCTGTGAAGGACATGCCAGGCAAGCATATGGCCTAAACTGTTCCCTGAAGCCCTATATCTATATTTATCTCTGAAGCATGGAGAGGAGGAGCCAGATTCAGGCCTACAGGTTATTTGTTCGAGACAGTTGGTTCCATCCTGGTCCAAGGAGTGAGCAGACACAGGGCTATGCCAGCTGACTCTTGGACTAAGCCACTGGAAAATATAGAGACAATCTCAGAAGGAAGGAAACTGTGGTCATTGCTCATTGTGACTGTCATTAGCTCGGATCTGTACTGTGAAGGATCCAGCTAAGTCAAGGCCACAGGAAAACTATTCTTATTATTCACGGGCTGCAGGGAAATTTCAGCACCCTGGTACTTCTCTTTTCTCTCTGGCATCAACTGTTATATCCCTGAGGAAAGGCCCAAGTCAGGTCCCCAAGTCTCCTTTTTAAAGAAGGGCCATATTTATGATATAGCTAAAGAGCAGGGTACTCAGGAATCACAATCAACTCCATAAATTGCTTAACAGCATATATTTTTCACTAAAGTCAACCAAAACACTTATTGTCCAGTTTCCCATCTTTGTCACTTTCCTTTACAAGTGCTCCTCAGTTTATGATGGGACTACATCCTGATAACCCATCACAAGTTGAAAATATTATGAGTGAAGTACATTTAGTATACCTAGCAAACATCGTAGCGTAGCAGCCCGGTACACAGCGAAGCACAGGTGACTGGGTGGATGGCTGGGAGCTCTGGTCCCCTAGTGCTATCTGTCATAGCCAGACAGTATCGTACTACACATCACTAGCCTGGGGAAAGATCAAAATTAGAAATTTAAAGTACTATTTTTACTGAATGCATATCACTTCTCTACAACCTTAAAGTCAAAAAACCATAAGTTGAACCATCATAGGTCAGGAACCATGTATAGTACCTACACATTTGCCCAGGAAAAGTATGATTGAAGATTAAATCTAATTCATGGAGCACTTGATTTCCTCACTGGTAATCTTAAAGACCTCAAACTAGAATAGGATAAAGAAAGCAAGACTATTTACAGAGTCACTGGGGATGCCCTTAATGATTCTATCGTTGTTCCCCTAGATCTCTTTGACAATTATATAGGCAGCTGTAAAGGAACAGTGAATGGATTGTAACAAGGCCTTAATATCTACAGATATTAAACTGAATTATGTTCAAGAGCCCGGCCCCTGGGATAGCAGTGTTATTATGGAAGGCTGGGAGCGTAGTAATGCATGACTATGAGACAGGATCAAAACATAAAGCAATAGTGATGGCACCAATAAAGTGATTACAAAGAAATAGTTATTGTTATGGGAGGACTGCTACAAAAGATAGATAAGAAACAAACAGTTAAGAGAATGGCAGACAGGAGAATAATGATTCTTGGCTCATGATACTTTAACTGAAACCAGGAGATTTATGAAACAACCTTAGGATAAAGTCTTTTTATTTTTAAAGGAACCATCATGAATTTTTATGTACTTACAAGCTGAACACACTCCAAAAGGTAGAAAAATTAAACAACTTGCATTACAAATAGATGTGGCAGTTCGAGCACGTAACAGATTTGGCTGATGAGGACCACCCTCCACCTTATCCCAATTTAGAAATGGAGAATGCAGGAGAAAAAAGGTAGAACACAACGAGACACCACCTCACACCTATTACAATGGATATTATCAAAAAATAACAACTGTTGGCAAAGTTGCAGAAAAATTTAGAACTCCTGTACATTACTGATGGGGATGTAAAATGTATGGCAAGTTCTCAAAAAATTAAAAATAGAGTCACCATATGATCCATCAATTCCACTGTAGGTATAAATTTAAAAGAAGTAGAAGCTGAGAACTTGTTCTGCTCAGGGATGTTATAAGAAACTAAAGCCCTAAGTCTTAAAAAACAGAAAAAAAGGTAACAACAGGTCTCATGCACTATAAATTGTCAATGAGAGTGCAAACTGGTATAATCCCCATGGAGAGGACTTTGGAAAGACTTGTCAAAATAACGAAGCAGATACTAGCAGAAAACAACGGCATACCATTTTCAAAGTGCTGAGAGAGAAAAATGGTTAACTTGGAATTCTCCACCCTTGTAAGTTACCACAGTGTAATAAGGATCAAGAAAGACCTTCTGAGGGAAGCAAAATTAGAGTATTACTGCCAGATCTAAACTAAAAGGATTAAGGATATATAGCAGTAAGAAAGAAAGTTAATCCAGAAGGAAGAAGACAATTTTAAGAAAAATAGCAGTGAGGAAAGACATGAATAAACATATGGAAAATCTAAACAGGAATTAACTTTATAAAACAAAAATAATTATTATGACTAACTCTGGGGATTTAAAAACAAAGTGAAACTAAATATTGGTAAGGACATATGTCAAACAAGGGATGGGGCCGGGGCTATAGGTCAGAGGCACAAGCGCCTGCCTGGCAAGTAGAAGGTCCTGAGTTTGATTCCTGGCACCAAAAAAACAACAACAACAACAAAAAAAAAAAAACCAAGGGAGAACGGGGGGGTACATATAGCTTAGTGGTAAATGACTTCCCTGGTATGTGTAATGCCCTGGGTTCAAACCCCAGCAATGGAGAGGGACCCAGGGGACAGGATGACAACTGTATCTTAAACATTTTAAGAGTTTTTAGGGAGAAGCAGACAGTAACTGACTATGATAAGCAAGCAAGTTAAATTTTTGACATTAACCCTATAGTAATAAAAATAGGATATATCATTTTCAAAGCAGCAGAGGGGAAATAGAAAAAACCTGATTGATCCAACAGAAAGCAGTAAAAGGAGAGAAAGCATTAATAAAAAAGAATGGTAAACAAAATATCACAATTATAGGGTAAAAATAAAGTCAGTATAACAATAATCATCTTAAAAATCACCAGTTAAAAGACATTGTTCAACTAATTTTTTGTTTGTTTGAGACAGGGTCTTGTTTATATAGTGCAGGCATCCCTTGAGCTCACTATGCAGTCCAGTGTGGCCTCCAACTAGTGTAGATCCTCCTATAGGACTATAGGCATATGTCACCACACCTGGTTTAAATTTTTAAAAATAATAGAATCTGATTTGGGGAGGCTGGGGCTGGAGGATAGCAAGTTTAAGTCCAGAATGTTGTACATGGATTATAGAATCTAAGTGATGGGTAGTGTTTGTTGTACACTTCTTTTGACTTTTATAAAACAGAAAAATTTGAGATTTCTCATTATAAAAGTTTAGATGACAAAGATATCATCTTGGAAGTGGATTCTCCAGCACCAGGCCCTTCATCAAGATACCTACATGGAGCAGAGATGGAGCCCCAGCCCTGTCTACCCAAACTCATGACCCACAAAAAAATGAGTGCTTTCAGCCTATGAGTCCAGGGTGCTAGATAACAGAAATCCTCTAAGTAGACCTTCCTTACTTTCTGTCAATGATAATAATAATAATAACAATAACAACAAATAGGCTTTTCTTAGAGACACAATACAGTAAAGAAAGTAAAAGGATGAGGAAAGTTATACTAGAAAAAAAAGTATTCCTTTCCCAATACCGACACCAAAGCAGAGCTAGCATGGCTAGAGTAACATAAAACAAGTAAAAAAAAAAAAAAACTTTTAAAAAACCTTTAATGGGGAAAGTATCATTTCATAAAGAATTTCTATAAAAATATATTATCAAAGCAGACTCAAAATTATAGCAAATCTGAGACCTACAATAATGAAGAAATTTTAATCAGTAATCAAAAATCTAGCCCTCTCATTTAAAAAACTATTAGACCCAGGTCAGGCATTGTGGCTTGTTATTCCAGCATCCAGGGATTCTGAGGTGGGAAAAACACAAGTTCGATCCCTTGTCTCAAAATTTAAAAATTTAAAAGTATTGGAGTTGTAGTTCAATGCAAAGGCCCTAGGTTTAACCCCTAGTACTGCAGAAAATAAAAGAATAAAAAATTTAAATAAAAAGAAGTACTAGACCCAGATGACAGTGTCAAGAAACAGGTAACACTCTATCTTACTGCCTCAAACTGTTCCAAAGAAAAGGAAAAAAAAAAAAAAAAAAAAAGCTGGGCATAGTTGGGCACATCTGTAATCCCAGAACTTGGGAAGCTGAGGCAGGAGGATTGTCATGAGTTTGAGGCCAGCCTGGGCTACATAAACAAGTTCAAGGCCATCCTGCACTACATAGTGAGACCTTGTCTCAAAAAAAAGAATAATTCCACAACTCATTTTATGAGGGTAATATGTCATTGACAGCAAAATTAAATAAGGAAAGCAGAACAGTAAAATTATAGGCCAATACTGCTTATGGACACATTGCAAACCCTGAGTAAATATCAGAATTGAGCCCAGCAATGTATACAAAGTTAATATCACATATTTCATCAAATCTAAAACATTGTTGTTCTTTAAATGCACCACTACTTTTTATACTAAGAAAGAAAAATATTGTCACTTCAACCATGATGTGATGATTCCTTATCACTTGAACATTTTATACCTACTGAAGGGGCTTTTTAAACTGACATATGCAGATTTTTATCATATATCATTCTTATGCCTCCATAACAAGAAAAACGTAAGTAAAATAAATAAGGTAAGATACTCTTAAAACCTCACATTCAGAATCCCCCTCTTCTAAATTATTGTTCAGCTCAGAGTTTTTGATATTCATTCTGGCCAGTGAGAGGTGGTAATGCAGCATTGCGTAGATGTCTCTATTATTATCTCTGATATGTTTTCCTAAGACACTGACACATATCTTAAAAGTTTAGATGCTAAGTTTCTACTTCATTTACCAGACAGAAAGGTTTCAGACAACTAAGGCTCATATTCCTTCCTCAAATGGATTTGTCTAAAACACTAAGAGAAGACAAGTGACCAAATCTAGGCAAGAGCAATTAGAAGGTGCCCTATTCTGTAAAATATATTCTAATTACAGAAAAGTTAAAGTGTGAAAAATATGTATCTCAGGATCAATGAATACAGCATATCAAATCAAGTAGGCTTTATCTCAACAATGTCAGAATAGCTTAGTTCTAAAGAACTATTAAAGTAGGTCACCACATTAACAGATTAAAGGAAAATATCTCAATGGATACAGAAAGCATTTGATAAAATTCAGAAATCATAATTTTAAAAAGAAATCTAGCTAGGCATGGTGGTGCACGTTTATAATCCCAGCACTTAGGAGGCCGAGGCAGGAAAAGCACTGTAAGTTCAAGGCCAGCCTGGGCTACATAATGAGACCGTGTCTCAAACAGCAATAAAAAACAAAAAAGAAATCTTGGCAAATCAGAAATAAAAAGGAGCAGACTTAATCTCACACACCTGCCAACATATCACAGGGGGAAAAAAAAAAAAAAGACTGGAGTGGAGAGGAAGAAGGAAGGGGCCAAGAGAGGAAGGAACTAGAAAAATTCTCTGAAGGCAGGAACAAGATAAAGGATGACTGCTATTACCACTTCTCTATAATAATATCCTAAAGGACTTAGCCAGATCAATAAAATAGGAAAATATTAGAGATAGTACAAGGGTTAGAAAAGAAAAGAAAAATCTAAGCTGCTGTTATTCTTAGACAACTTGATCATCAACATAGATGTTTCAAAATAATCTACAAACTATTACACTAGTAAGAATGTTTAGAAAAGGTATACAATACAAGAGCCAATTTTTTTAAAAACTCCTTAGAAGGGTTGTAGTACAGAAATAAATAATTTAAAAATCTAACTGTCATAAAAGGTCCTATTCATAAAACCTTCTAAAACACGGTACACATGAATAAATCCAACCAAAAATGTAATGCATTTCATAGGAAATATTTAAATCTCTATTAAAAGTAAGATACTTAGTAATAAAAAACTGATGCACATAGGAAGATATAAATGAAATTATACAAATATATCAATTCTAGTTGAAATGAACTATATGATCATTATAATTCCATTCAAAATATATGATTTGATAAACAGAATATAAAATGCATATGGAAGAGGGAAAATATTACATCCAGAAAGAGTCAAAGCAATTCTGAAGAAAATAAAGAATAGACAGAGGCAGGAGGACTCATACTACCAGATATCAAGAATTTTTCTAAAGTTTTAAGAATTAAAATACTGCCTGGCAAGTGCAAGGTCCTGAGTTTGATCCCCAGTTCCACAAAAAAATTAAAACAATGTGGCATTTAATGTGATGACAATTTCTTGGAGAAATGGAACAAAATATTTAAATCAGAAACTAATTGAAATAAAGAAAACTTCATCAACCCAGTGGAATGCAATAGGCCTACAGTATGCAGTAAAGGAGAGGCTTAAAAAGGAGATCTTTGTTTATAAGCAAAAAAAGTCTTTTAAAGAATTACTATAAAGATCTGAAATATACCCATACAATAAAATATCATATAAGACCATTCAGAAGCATAATTGTTAACTTGGAAAGATGTTGACAATATATTATATGAAAAAACAGGCTATAAAATTATAGGTTTTCAACCAAGGCATTAAATGCTTAAAGCAATTTTCTATATATACAAATAGGCCAAAGCCCCACGTTATACCTACAAGGTTTTAATCTCTTATCAGCTTTGATGAAAAACAAACTAACCAAAGAGTACAGTAAGTTAACTCCAGAGTGTTGAGTAATAAAGTCACTACTACATTGCTTATAACTCTTCTATAAAGCCCCAAACAATTACAGGCATTCCTCATTTAATGACTGAGTTCTATTCCTGAAACCAGGTCATTAAATGAATTGGTCACTAAATGAGGACTTGTACATAGACTGTAAATTATTCAGAATAAAGAAATGATCAAAAGAAACGCCAACTTGTTGACTTTGCTTTTATTTGCATAATTCTTACAATCAGTACTATAATATATAACAGAACATAAAACTATAGTACCATACTATACAGTACAATGAGCAAAATTTGCAGTACTGTATAAACAAAGTGTATTGTACCCAAAAAAGACATTGAAGCTCTATAAACAAGATGTATAGAACTGTACAAAGAAACCCCACAAGTTGTAAGCCTAAACAGCATGCCTCAGTTATAAATCTGAACAGTTGTTAAACAGGTAGGTGGTCAAATGAGGAATCTCTGTATATCCCAGAGTTAAGCCTAATAATCTCTACCTCTCCATTGAGTCAGGGGGCTATCAGAGCTATAGCCCGAGTTGTTGACAATATATAGAATCATATATACTAAGGTATATAATGCCAGGTAAAATATAATAAACTATATATTAAATAACTATGTATTGTAAATCAATACACCCAAAGCTATATTCATAAAATTATGCCATATTTATCAGGTGAAAGAGTGACAGCAAGAAGTTCCTTGAGGACTTTTGAGAGAAAAATAAAACATTTTGTCTTACTCTATTAATACCCTCTGAAAAACTGTACATTGACTTGGGTGCTCTAAAACCTGTACTCCATATTTGATTAACTAAACATTTCCCAGAAGGTCTAAGAATAATAACAGAATCTATTTTATGAAAACGGCAATAGCATACAACACAGGGTGAAAAGTTAAGTCTCCAAGGAAAAATATTTCCATTATTATTCCTTTATCCTCAAAATATTTATTGTGTTCTTTATACCTTGATGAAATATTTTTGAGACTGTTAAGACCAAAAGATATAAACTGCCTTTATTTTGTAAAAATTAAGACTGGATCAGGCTAGAGGACAGTAACTGGATACAAGGTGTACTAAATCTTCTCTTCCAGAAGAGCTGATTTTGAATTCAATCACCCTCTGAGTGAAGTCATCCCAGCTCGCATAATTTCATCAACCAGGAGAATGTTGGTGGAAATCACTGTGCTAAGAAAAAGATGAGAGTGAGAAAAGCCTACTAACCCTTGCTTATCTTTTCCCCCAGCAATTTTCAGCTATGAAGGGCACTTTTTTCCTTCAGTTATGTTCGTATGAGATTTTATGAGACAAAGCTATTATAAACACAAACATCATCATTTGTATTACAATTTCAACTCCTTTGTTGATAAGGTGGAAACATGATTTATATTCCAGCAAAATTGAGGTTATTTTGAAGCACATCATTTTATTTTCCTCACTATACAAGTGGTACTATTTCAGTAGTTTGCACTTTTCCTTTCCCATCAAATCAACAGATTCACTGTTCATATAACTTATACTGCTACAACCAAAATATAAAATGAATGTAAAATAACTGAAACTAATCTTAATAACTGGACACTACACCTTTTCATACACTTGGCAAGTTTTCCACTGCAGGATGACAAAAATAATAGAAAATATTTAATGTATCAATTATGCCCCTACAGATCTTTCTTTGTATATTACTTCCAACTTACCAAGAGTGAAGAAGTTGTTTTTTCACACAATAATTATCCCAAATTCCAGCATCTGCTGCTACCATTGGTTCCCCTGTAAAGTAAAAACAAACCATTTTAATACTACAATCTTGATATAGTCTACCAATGTATTGGTAGAATCTGACAATATTTAATACACTACCAAAACTGCTTTTGTCAAAGTCATCAGTGCTCTCTATTTTACTACAGTAGAATTGAAACTCCTTAGAATAGCCCATATGCCCCTGCATGAGCTTTCTGTCACCTCTGTCACCCCTTCCGTCTACTCAAAAACATCAGATGCTGGCGTTTCCACTGGCTGTTCTCTCTCCCCAAAATACTTATTCCAAGTAACGTCCTTATTTCCTTTCACTTTTCAGTACACAGCTTCTCAGTGAGGTCTACCCTGTCCAGGCTGTTTTAAGTTGCCAACCACTCAACCCATACCCTTCTACTAAGCCTTCATGATCATCCTTATATTGTTTTTTTTTTTTTCATCAAATTTTTTGCTTCCTCAATGCTAAAGACACTTACTTCTTAAGGTTATTATTTAGTGCCTGTTGTCCTCCACTATAACAGAAGCTCACAAAGGCAGGTATTTTATTTTGTTCTGTATGAATCCCAAAAAGTATATAATAAGTTCTCAATAACTATTTCTTACATGGATATTTTAAGAGGTTCAAAAGTAAACTAGAATCACCCGAAGTTTAATAGTCACTCAAATCCCTACCACCTTACTATAAGATCTGGATGACTGAAGAATAACTTCTTTCCTTATCAAGAAGCTAATTTTCCTTCAATTTCTTACCTGTATTCAAATCTATGCCAACAAGTTGCTTTGATTCTGAGTGCTCAGTCTGAACTTTTACTAGTGTTTCCTGCGGGTCAAAACCAGAATTCTGAGCAAGAACCTTTAAGAATAAAAATAATAACAAATATTTGCATGGAATACTTCTACATATATACTTGAATAGCAAATATAAAAGGTATTACTATTTAGTCTTTGGAAAACACATCTGTAATTCAGTAATCATCTCCTTTTGAAGAATAGCATTCTTAATCTACATCGAAGTATTATTTTGTCTATCTAGTCACTTTTATATTTACTTATCCATTACCCATGTGTATATCACACTATACTCTAAGTAGAGTTCCTTCACTCCTACATTAATTTCCTTCCTCACAAAAGATTATTTTAAATGTAGAAGGAAGTAGTACAGCATTCTTGTTTTCTCTAGTCCCTCTAGCCACATGTCTTCTGGTTTTTTGTAGGCACTTGCTAAAGAAAACCAGCATATTTCCAGCACCTTTACACCCTCATGTTCAGGATGAAAGCCATGGTCTACGGCTGCAGGGATAGAACTACCTGTATTCAGACCACGTTCACTTCCAAGTCATCCAAAACAAAAATAATGGAGGAAAGGTACCACCATGCACTTCAAGGTTATCAATTTGTGTTAACAACACATCATTTTTTTTTTAATGACTTTGCTGCCATGGGGAAAGAAAAAATAGATATCTAATGCACAAAGAACCCATACATTATGAACCATTTTAGTAGCCATTATTTTTAAAATTTTGCTAGCTTTGTAATGTCTTAATTCATGGTAACAGCATATTAGAAATAGTTTTATGTATTTCCAAGTGGTTCATAACCAGGTTAAGGCAAAGAGAAAGGAATAGTTCTCTGCCTTTTAGTTACCAAACAGAAAACCTCTCGTTTTTCTTCTTTTTTAGAAATTATAATGACAATGAAAAATGCAAGCTAGCAGTGTTTGGGAATATAAAATAGCCTGAAGATCTTCATTTTCCATAATTTAAAGTAATAATATTTTGGGCACGATCAACAAAATAAAGATCACCCTAAAATCTAGTTAAATTTTAAGTTCTAATTATTCACCACAATTAGTTCATCATGAACCATTTCTGAAGGAAACTTTTGGAGCTACTTTAACTTTTGAAGCTCCCAAAAAGGGATAAGAGAATAATTTCTGCCTGCTTCATGAAGCTCCTGAAAGAATTCTGAGCTATTATCCCCAAAATTTCCCTGCTTGAGTTGTAAGACATTTAAGAAAAAACTGTACGAGGAACTGTAGACAGATACCTTTCTACTCTGGGTCAGATTATATGGGCAATTTATAACCAAACACCTTGAAGCCTAACCAGTTGTTAGGTAGCAGGAGGGTGCTGTACCTTAGGAATAATGAGTAAGGCATCGGCAAAAGCCTGGACTCCAAGACGAGCTCTTCCTTTTACACTGGGCTTGTAATTAACAAGCGCAGCAGCTATTGCCACTTCAACTGCACCAGCCCCTGGAACTATACAACCTATTGGAGCAGAGAAATGATGGCAAGACATACCATATAAGGGAAAAAAGGGAGGAGAAAAAGCAATTAGCTATATAAGTATGCTCTATTATCTTCCCTACCTCTAAAACGTATTTATGTACAGAAATCACACAACTCAGTAATTACTCAGTTGTCCCATGAAGCATTCTGAAGCTAAGTAATTGAGCAAGGTATAGATAGCTAGTTAGAAGCAGCTTATTTCATTGTTTATCCTCTGGCAAATAAGAGTAGACATTTCTTTCATCTTACTCTTCTATAGCTACTTTGAAAGGTAGTTATTTATAATTTATAATGGCGCCGGGTGTAGTGGCACATGTCTGTAATCCCAGCACTTGGGAGGCT